ACACCCACACCCACACCCACCCACACCCACACCCACACCCACTGTAGAGGTCAGCCAGTAATTTAATCATTTGGCGGGTCTACTGTCTCATCTAACACTGCTAACGTTAGCAAACGGATTGATGAGGAATGCTGCCTGCGCTGTTTTCCCATCATGCTTAATCTGCCACTGGTTGTTGTTGTTGTTGTTGTTGTTGTATGGTACAGAAGTTTGGTCTCTTTCATATTTGGTCTATAGGTCTAAGTTTTTGCAGTGCAACCTCAGTGTGAACAGTCATCAGAATTCACCATGACCTGTTCACACTAGCATCTGATATGGGCCACATTTAACCAGTAATGTGAAGACTGAATTGAGCGCTAAGGGCTCGCAGCGTGAATGTAGCTTTAAGTGTCCTCAGTTTACCTTTATAACACTGCTGTCCATCCAGTGGTTGAGGGTTGAAACACAAGAATCAGTACAGTGTTTTTGAGAATTAATACAATATCTCAAAACACAATATCGCAATACACAAGTCTCTATACTTCAATATTTAAACACTTAGAGCAAAAAGTAGTTTGATATTTTTTCAAGTCTGTCTTAATACAGGACTCACATGCCCCTATGTACTCTGACAGAGTTGCTGTAATCCTTCCTCCTGCCCATACCGGCCCTTCAACAAGCAACCAGAAACTCTTTCAGTGTACATGTGGGAAAGTATTGTTTAAAGTAGACTTGAAAACATGTGAACTTCTTCCTTAAGTAAACAGAGTCGAGGAAAGCTGCACAAACACTCTCAGCCTGTTGGGGTCCATGTAGTTAGGATGTCGTGTTTTGTTTTGTATTTTGTATTAGTTCTGACATATCTGGGTCTGTTGTCTACACAGTTGGAAATTGCCCAGAAGCATCCAGACATCTACGCCGTCCCAATAAAACTGCCAAAACCCAACCTCAACCGTCCCCAGCCAATTGGGTGAGAGCACCTCTCTTCTTTGTAACACAATACAAATTTCTGTTTCTGTAGATGGTCCAGGTTATTAAGCTTTGGTCTCATAAGCTGAACTGCTGTATCGTTGCTGTGTGTGTCTGTGTGTGTGTGTGTGTGATCAGTTCCAGCTCCAATCCCGAGCAGCAGACTCCCTTCAGGCCACCGTACTCGGAGAGCAGAGGGCACGAGGACGACGAGGCCGAGTACCGCAGACAGCTGGCCGACCAGACCAAGAGAGGGTACTACAATGCTCAAAAATACAAAGACACCGAACTGTAAGGTGGGAAACCAGGAAGTCACGAGCTGGATTCCTCCCACGTCATCACTACGAACAGACAGCGTTTGTTGCCTTGGTAACAGCCGGTGCAGCTTTACCTTGATGTAAACTCTCAGAACTTTGTTGGTAGTCAGTCCTGGAAAGAAGCAGTACTGTTGTCTCGGTACACGTTGTACGTTGAGGCTGGCGACACAATATCGTTGTGTGTTTACCACTACGTAGCTGCTCAACATAAAATGGCAGATTTTTCTGACGTACCTTTTCACAGACCTGATATTTCAGTGTATATATTCTTTTTTATGTCTCTGAAGAGGTTTTTATTTTTCCCTGTTAAACACCTAGCCCCAGTTCTGCCCTCGTAGAGTCCCAGAGATAAGCATGTACTCCTGAAAGATAAATACCCTGCGATTTTGAAAAGCAGGTTATAGAAGTACACATTTTGAATGCATTTCCAGAATCCACAGGCTCTTCTAACAACAACCATATAGATTTTAAACTCATAAACTGTAAATATGACCCGATATCTTTGTTTTAATTAGGTTAGAAATTGTTATCATGCAGCAGATGAAATGGTTTTTTGTCCAGGCTCTTGGAAGAGTCTTTGTATGTTCTGGAAACAACTTTAGAACATCTGTAAGTGTTGTTAGGCGACCTTTTGAGTTTATTAAAGATGGGCAGTATATATTTTTCAGACATACAGGTGCTTACCTCTGAAGCTAACTAACACCGTGCTGCAACCAAACCACAGATATATATATATATATATATGTAGACTGTATAAGTATGTACACTGTTTGGTTTGACGTCCTATTCCAATCCTAGTAGAGTGTCAGTATGGGTTCAGCTGCTCTGATGTCAAAAATCTGTTAGTCTTTGTTTCTTATCACTGTCCTGCCAAGTCTTCTCTGACTTATTGTACACATCTACGTTCCTGATTGGACATTTGTATATACACTACACTGTGTAATATGTGTGCATTCTGGGAAGCTGCATATTTTAAAGTGCCTTCTAAGTCTGATGTTAGCTCTGAAAAATATAACTATCCACAGACAGCACGAGGTTCTGAAATTGACCGAACAACCTGACACTGAGTGTAAACCAGTACATTGTGACCGATCCACTGAACGCTGACCACATGCAGGTTGTAGAAGTAATCAGGACAGAAACACATTACCTTCACCAAAGAGACATTATAGAGATGCTACGCTGTAATTACGAGATAGAAGGATCTCATAAATGCAACATCTGTATAGTGATTATAACATCTGTATCTCGTACTAATTGGTTAAAAATACAACATATGGAAGTCATAATTACAATGCGTCCTGTCTACAATGCACTGCTGTAAATGAGGGAGGCTGCAGGTGTCTGTATTTGAGTCAGCTGGAACAGACGGAGCCGACAAATGATGTCACAGATTTCACTGTTTAAATATATGGGAGGGGACGCTCAGATGATGGAGCGCAGCATAAACTTGATGTTTCTGACAGTCTGTATGTTTGTCTTTATTGGCTGTTTGCAACCAGAGACAATCACATTGTTATTGCTTCTATGTTTTTATACTGAATATACACTGAGCTCTGTCAAGTCTTTGTACGCGGGAACGTGGTGACGACAATCATGTTGGTTGATCAGTTTCTTTTAAGTTTGTGATTTCTTTTTTTTAGTTTGTGATCTCCTTTGTGAAAAAAAGACTAAAATCCAATCAATAAATCCTGCTTTTTTACATTGTTTCCTTTTACAGCGTGTCTTCTTGGAAGTGAGTCTCCTCTTTTTGTCTTTGAGCAGTCTGGAGGCATTAAAGGCCGTAGTATGCCTCAAACGACAAGTGCAGTGCACGCTCTCAGGCAGGCAGTCAGGGTGAGCTTGAGAGAGAAGTTCAAACCCTTCCTACATTCTCGCACTAGCACCAGCAGCCTGCTCTCCTTACAGTTCAACGTCCACCTGCCTGTGCTGGATGTGGTTAGGCATTGCTCCGTGGAGTTGTTATATGCCAGTTTGTTCTGATACCAACCTTATTTCCCTTTTTTAAATCAAAACACTGCCAAACAGCACTCCTTTCATTCGGGCATTAGTGCGGGGAGGGGGGAGGGGGGAGGCTGCAGGCCCAGCTAGTAGTGGTTGGTTTTGTCCATCACACATCAAACATTTTGTGAGGCTACTGTCCTTTCAGAAGTCGTGCTATTAAAAGGAACAGCAGCTTCTGACGGCACTACATCAATCTAACACTTCACGTTGAATGTGAGTTCAAGTGGACGGTAAAATCAGAGTGTTTCTTTTAGATTCTGAAAAGCTTTGAGAAAGCTAATAGCGTGCATACCTCTGCAGTAATTTGTTGTCGCTCTTGAAATGAAGCTTAACTTATTTTCCGAGTTAACAGCCAACTGCATTCAGTTCAGATCCTGTTGAGTAAAACAAACCAGAACTTATGGTCTTTTCTTTAGAGTTTATTCAGCAGAATTGTACATGCATTCCCCTTTAACCTGACCTCCGCCCTGACAATGTATAGGTCCAACATGATTAGAGTACATTCAGATATTACAGCTATTTAACCAAAGGTAATATTTACTCTGCTTGCCACCTAAATACACACAATAAAATCCACGATTTCTCTTTGGTCGAACATAACACGTCACATTAACACTCGGCCTAGTGAGATAATCTGTTTTCTGCTGTCATACTGTAGATGTACATGTTTACATGACAGTGTACTGTACAGATTAAGGCAAGTCAAGTGATATCAAACAGGATAGAGAGAGGAGAAAGGTGGTTAAAACAACTGAAAGGATGGATGGACAGTAGTAAAGATAGAGTAATGCTGTGAGTGTGTTCAGATGTAGACAGGTTGCTCCTGTGCTGTCAGCAGACGGTACATGGCTGCAGGCATCGTCTTCATGTGGATCTGGAGCAGAAAGAAAACAAGTGACGAGAACTCAGACAGAGCAAACATTATACTGATGATTGAGTTATTTTTAGAGCATTTCCCGTGCTGGAGCTTAAAATGTAATGTCATAAAATCCAAAGGGCTCATTAATCTGCTCCTTACGTTTTTTTGTATAACAATTTTTAATATTAAATACGGTATTAAAGTAATGTCAAAAACCAGGTCTGGAGCCAGCACAAACAAATAAAAGCTGGTCACTAGGGAGAATTAACTGTACTGTAAAAGCCTTTTTTAAAGAAATACTGTTTTCAGGCGCTTTTGTTGGAACTTGCTGGCCGTTCTTTCAATCTCTATCAAACTATTGTCAATAAAACTAAACACTTCCTACAGACGTTTCAAACTAAAAGCTCATCAGAAAAGGGAGGAATTTGTGCAGGAAGAGTTTTACCGACAATAGATTGAAAAAAAGTAAAAGTAGAACTTACTTTCATGCAGACAAACGTTATATAGAACAAATATTTTTGTATATTTCACTTTTTGATCTCCCTGCAGAGCTCCTCCTACCTCTCCCATGGCATTAGACAGAATCTGAACGATCTTCTCGTGAGGCGTCGCCACGACACTCTGGCTGTTGATCTCGATGATGCGGTGGCCGACGCGGACGCCTCCTCTCTCAGCGATTCCTCCTCTCATCAGGCTGCAGATCTACACACACACACACACACACACACACACACACAGTTAAAACACAAACACACAGTAAAGACCGCAGTAGCAGCTACCAGTGACAGTAACTGAGACTAAACATGTAAAAACTATAAATGTGTCCTTGGACATCGTCCTAACAATCCCTGCTCCATGTCTGTTGCTAAGAAACTGCCACTGTTAACAAAATAAAAGCTCTTCTTTAGTAATTTAAAAAGAGGGTAGCAGTAATACTCCAGGAACACAGTTCAGCCACATTCTCTGTGTGTGTGTGTGTG